CCAGACATTCCTCCAGTCATGAAGGCTTCCAGGTCCAGAGAGGTCCACAGCACTGAATTTGGGTTCAATGGCAGCATGACCATGATCAGCTATGTGAGAAAAAAGGGAAAGGCTGTTCTGCTGCTTAGCACAATGCACCACAGCAAGATGGTGGATGAAAACAGCCCAAAGAAAAAACCAGAAGCGATCCTCTTCTACAACCAGACCAAAGGAGGAGTAGATACTATGGACCAGATGGTTGGCAACTACACCTGCAAACGCCAGACGCAGAGGTGGCCCATGGTGCTTTGGTACAACATGATTGATGTCGCCGCTCTGAATGCCTATTCATTTTTGAGGGCTCAGCACCCTGAATTTTACACAGGCATCATCGATGGACGATGACGCTTCCTCACAGAGCTCTCAAAGGAGCTTGTGACACCTCACATGAAAAGTCGACTGGAAGGTACCCCGACCCTACCAACCTACATCACTGAAGTAATGGGAAGGTGTGGAGTGACAAAAACTGCTGCGATCCGGCCACAGGAAAGAAGCACACAGGGCCAGCAGAAGAGAAAGAGGTGCCAGTTGTGTCCAAGAAACAAAAATCGCAAAGCCACTGATTGCTGTTGGAAATGCAGTACTCCTGTGTACAATGGTCACACCTAGAAGCAAGTAGTTTGTGACAGCTGCACACAGTGAAAGGAGAGAAGATGTTTGTCTGTGTACATATGCGTGGGCAGTGTTATGGCATCCAAGGGTTAAAAGGACTGGGAAAAGGTCCCAATAAAGGCTGAGGTAACTGGGGGTAAAGTGGCTAGAACCCAAAGGCTACGAAGATGGACTTTAGACAGAAAACTATGATAAATGGACAGATATGCATATTAGCAGACTAGTTGGGGGAAAGAGAGAGGTGTGGGCAGATGATCATCAAGTGATATCTGAGGCAGGGATGCACTGAGGACACTTGGAGGTCAAATGAGAGAACAGCAGTTCTGAAATGACAAGATATGTTAATGAGCAGGAAAATGGGTTAGCCTGGGGAATAACATTTTGGACTAGACTACTTATTATGACCAACAGGTGTGTTCTACTGCCTTAAGTTTGTGCTCGTTATGTCAAAGGTTATTTTACCACAACATAACCAAGTAGTTTCTAAACTTAATGGAACCAGGACAGTTTCATAATCAGAACCACAGGACATCATCACACAAGATGTTTTCACTGTTACTAACATCCTCCAGGAGCTAAGGGCAGTGGCTCCTCCTCTAGCCCCCACCATTTAGTTGGTGTCTAAAATAGCCCTGCTGTCAGTTCGTCATGTGAAATAAATCCCCCTCTAATCCCTATTGTCTCACTTTGTTCTGTTCAGCTTTAAAAAAAACTCTGTTACTTAAAAAAGGGACAGAGAAATGTCTAAAGTTATTTGTGACGTGATGGGTCCTTCCCCTTGGCTTTCAGTAACACACAATAACACAGCCCCTGGTTGAATAACTCTGAGACCACCACATTTTCTCTTTGGATACTATATTTGACCTTTTGTCATAGTCCATTTTTTGGGTAATCCAGTGGGATTTGGTTAATCATAATCAGTGTTGGGCAGTAACGCATTACTTTTAGGGCCATGTCTGGCACATGCGAGTGTTAATTTGTGTTTGCTTCATGCAGGGACTTGAGGTATGGGAAGACAGTTAGCCTCTAACAAAATAGGTAAATAATAATTAATCCATCCATCCATTATCTATACCGCTTATTCCTGAATCGGGTTGTGGAGCCAACCCCAGCTGACATTGGGTGAGAGGCACCCTAGACAGGTCGCCGGTCTATCACAGGGCTGACATGTAGACAGACAAACACAGACACTCACACTTACTCCTATGAACAATTTAGAGCCACCAGTCACCTAAGCTGAATGTCTTTGGGAGGAAGCCGAAGTACCCGAAGAAAACTCATGCAGGGAGAACATGTAAACTCTGCACAGAAAGGCCTTGGGTCGCACGGGGTCAAACCCAGAACCTTATGCTCTGAGGCAACAGCGCTAACACCACACCACTGTGCCGTCCAACAATAAGTAATAAAAATTAATTTAAAGGTAATTCAAAGGTTGTCTAATTTTACATGCATGGTTAGCCATGAGTAAATGTTGGACAGCACATGCACAGTTGAAGTCAGGTCTTCTGGAAAACAAATTTTAATCACTTTTATTGGCCAGGTATTTTTAACACACACAAGGAATTTGTCTCAGGTACAGAGGCTCTCCACTAGAGAGACCATTCAACCAAGGCAGCCATCTGTGGTTCCATGTTGGCAGGACAACACCCTTCAGTCACACACACACACACACACACACACACACACATATAGTATATGGCACCACTGCCCTGGCCATCAGGAGCAACTTAGAGTTCAGTGCCTTGCCCATGGACATTTCAACATGTGGTCTGAGGAGACTCGGAATCGAACTGCCAAACTTCTGGTTAGGGGATGACTGCTCTACATTTCTAAAACTGGGGCAGCTGTGAAAACTATGTGCAGTTTCTGAGGCTAATGTTTAGCTAGCTGTGGGATAGTCAATAAATTCTTCCTACAGTAACTGCAGGGCTACCTGCTTGTTAAGCCACCAGGGGTAAGTCCCGATTCCCTTAACTGATCATTCCTATGAGTATGAGTGTGGAGGATTTGAAGTTATTTAAAGGTATCTTTTATGAAGCTAGACTCAGTAACAAAACTAAAGAAATTATGGTATTTTGACATTTAAAAAAAACTTAATATGAACAATTAATTACACACGACAATGACGGCACACAGCCTGCCTTGCCTATCACCACTGCTAGAATTATATATAATCTAACTTTTTGCCATGTTAACAAATATTTGCTGTTTTTCCCTGATCACAGCTGCTGTTCAGATAGAATATTCTGAAACAAAAGTTGTGGATATATGAATAAATACTGCCAGACAGAGCAGTGTCTGAAATCTGTTTTGCTTTAATATCTGTTTTATTTTTCTGTACCTCACCATTCACACTGATGGGTTTTCTTTACTGATTGTGATAAGCATGATTGGATCAGCTGACAAATTTATGACTAGCTGTAATAAACATACAAATACACTTTCAGCTTTTGCCAGTTTGAATTTCAAAGGGAACCATTCAAGTGATCATTCATCTGTGGCGTCATTAGAGAAGTCATGGGAGGTCACTCTCACAGGGTTTCCACAGTGTTAGGTATCACCCTGTCACTGTTGATCACATGGGCTCTCAGGAGGGTGGGCTCTGGGTTTGCGTCTGGGACTCTGTGGCCCAGTTCTTTCCACGGTTCTTCTTCCTGTTCCTCTCAGCCATCACCACAGCTGCCACCACGGTGACCAGCACAGTGACAGTGATGACAAGTACAGTGGCGGTCTCTGCGATGCAAAGCTGGCTGTCCACCCACGCCAGTGAAGCCCCGGTCAGCTGTGGTGGGTCCTGGCACGTTACATTCTGGTAATCGTCAATGTGGAGGTGGCGAACGTACAAGATCTTACTGAAGACACGATGCAGTTCGCAGTCACAGCTCCATGGGTTTCCTAGTGGCAACAAGAAAGGTAAATGTAACTTAAAAAAAAAAACAGGTCTTATGAAAAAAGAGCACCACAAGGTAAAGGAACTGGCTGATTACTACACAGCCAGTGTATGCTCAGTTCAGTAAGGCCTGTGACACACCAAGGTGACAGTCTGTTGTTGGACATCATCAGGCTGTCAGTGAGTGTTTGCTGGGGCTCATCTTCCTGATGTGTCCTGCACCATTGGCTCTAGTTGGACCCTGCCAGCAGGTTTTTGTCCAATTTGGCATGTTAAATTGGTGTTGGAATACATCAGTAACAGAGACCACACAACAAGACAACGGTTTGGGAAAGCCCCTTCAGCCTGTCATTGCAGTGTCCATGATTTCACCCATTCTGTGTAGTTTCTCATTTCTCTGCCTCCGCTGCCACCTTTCTTTTTCCACAACCAAAAGACCAAGGGCAGAAAATGGCAGTGCCATGTGTCATTATTATAGTAGTAGGGAACG